ATATGTGAAAAGAATAATCTTTGCAATTATTTCTAACCTTTGTCAAATCATTTTTTTTATTGATACTGACTTTAAATCAATTGGTTTTAAATTTTTTAAATGGGGACACCTTCACATTTTCATTTTGACTCTGTAGTGTACTCAGTGGGTGATATAGTGGGAATATGACTCTCATTGGACTGACAAGGAGACTGGGAGGACATGGCTCTTAATGAACATGTTGTCTCTAATGGACGATCTCTGATTGTGACTAAGTATTTAGTCTGCCACAACAGGGGAGCCACATCACTCACACAAATCACTGCACACATAGAGGATTACATTTGTCTAACTGTCACTGTATTTGATGTTTAGATGATGCACGCACAACGCATCCATATTTACAAAGCGCCACAATTGTTCAACCTTTGTTCTGCTGTTATACACATTTCACCCAGCTCCAAGATTCCTGCGCGGTTGTCAGTGCAAAATCGGGTGCTTTGCATGCCGAGTGGATGAGCCTGTATTCTACTACAATGGCTGATGTCTGGGGATTCTCTGTTGGCTGATCTATAAATATTGTTGTGTTGTGTGTTGGTGCTACACAGAGGGACAGAATGAGCTGAAGAGATCTCCAAGAGTCCAACTGCCAGTGTTTTGTGGTGCCGGAAAACCGAGGCCTTATCTTTGTCAGCACATGTTCACTCAGATGGTTCAGACTATATGCTTTATATATAGTTTTGGCTTGGTGAAATGGTGAGACTGACACTTTGACACCGATATAATAAAGTGAGATCATGGGTGATGTTTTGTGTGTGAATAGTTTTTGCATGTTTACATTTATCAGCACAGAACAGCAGACAACTGTGAGACTAGCACTATCTATCTTTAAATATAAAGAATTTTAAAGCTTATTATATATTTTAGACCTCCAATTAGTCTTATCTGGCAGGCTTAAGGAAATAGCAGGTTTTCCATTGTTGAGGTATTTTTATAGCTTTTAATTTATCAATGCTACCATCCCATGGCTATTTGGCACCTAAGGCCCAAATAGCTTTGGTAAAAGCTTTATAAAAGCTTATGTCAACTAAATATGCAAATACAAAAGGAGATTAATTTGTTTCCTTCAGAAAATGGTATGAAAACAATTGCTTTAATGTACCCCTATAGCTTTACATATAAGATAAACCACAAACTTTGCTAACACAACATAAGCCTAATGGTGCAATCCACACGAGAACCTTATAATGTATTATGGCAAACAGCAGCTTTCCCAGTGGTTTATGTGTAATGGTCCAAACTTGGCTCAGAAAAGTGGTCTAATACTGCACTCATTAAAAAGGGAGACACAAGGCACGATATCACAGACATTTATAAAACAGAGTGCTCAGAGAATCTAACAGATACAATGGCACATAAAACTTTAATACGGGAATGGGAAAACCCTCAGAAGCAAGTGCTGAAGTTGCGACAAGAACTATAAAATGGATCAAAACTGTTCTCCCCCATGATAACATAATTAAGCTCACATCTGTCAACTTTTAAGAGAAGAGGTCTGATCTGGAGGCATCATGAAGCAATGCATGATTTGAATACTTAAAAGGCTTTATGAGAGGAAGGAGACATGAGGACGAACTGAGGGCAGCATCATTGACCCTTCCTATCCAGACTACCATCTGCTCAAAGACCAGCCCCTGGAAACTAGTGCAGATACATTAAAACTACAAGCACTTTATCAGACTCTTTCAAATATCCATTAGGTGTCCGATTTAAATGATAGCAGGAAGTTAGTCATTCATATATTTCAGTGAAAGATAACAGAAGTGGAACACTGTAGCAAGGAGTGCTGGTCACTCAGTGTATTCACTTCCCACAGTATCAGAATGTTCAATATCTTTGTGTACGAACATTTATTGAATAATACATTTCTGTGAATGACATAAATTTGAATGACATAAATTTGACTGTAGATCTTAATTCCTTTTACTTAGACCGAAGTCGAAGTCGAAATATTAACAGTCCAAACATTTAACACCAAAAAGTTTCAAAATTCTCCAAAAAATTTCAAATAAATAGCTGCCATGTATAGAGCTCCCTTCGATTTAAACAGATTTTCTTCAGTGTTAAACAGACAAACAGTTTTGTCCCCACTCTCAAGCACTGATGATATATTATTTATTTCTTTATTTATTTATTTATCACTCAGAAGTCATTATGCATTTAAATAGTTATAATTAAAACATGCATTTAATAAGTGATTTGCACAGGCCCCCATCTCCATGAAAAATTCAAAGACATGCAATTACAACTAAATGTGTCACTTCATTACATAACCATTATTGTGCCTGATGACTGAATATGTACTTATAGACAAACACAATTAAGATTAACATGTCCAAGTATATCATTACATAAAGTATATTGCCTGTGTTGTTTTCAGGTTTGGAGAGTTTCTGTCAGATGAGCCTCACAGTGTCTCAAGCCTCAGGGTTTAAATCCAGACACCTCTCTTCAGTAGATAAAAGTTTCATAAATGTCACAGAGATTTTGAAATATAAATGTCCACCATACTGACCTGGAACCATACCTATATTTATTAAGGGCATTATCATAACTAATATGCCTACCACGTTCAGGTTTGTTGCATCTTTTACTGATGTTTACTCTCATGTTTTTCTCCTCCAAAGTATCTCTGAAAGAATAACAGTGGTAGGGAACCTGCCCTGGATCTCAGTAAACAAGTGGATTTTGTATGTCCCCAGACTTCCCATCCATCTCAGTTGGTCATTCTAAATTGATCGCTTAAATATGAGAGTAAGTGGCCAGTCTATGCCTGTGACTAACAAGTTACTGTCAATGATTAAAAACTGAGAAAAAGCAAAAGAAGAGGAATTTATAATTGAAAATACAATTATTCAGTATTTGCTCTAAGCCGACGAGCTTCTCTGTAGACAGACAGTCATAATATTGCAGTCTACAGTGTGTCTAAATGTCATCCACATGTCATCCTCCACATGCTACAGTGTCAGTGGACAGTGAAGCTGTATTCTCTTGCATTTTACCCATTGTTAAATCACACATGTTAACCGGCCTTCAGCTGTGTAAATTTGGTTGGAGTGATATTGGTCAAGAAGCAACAACATTTAGAAGAATTAATATGATCTTATTGATATTATTGTATATTTTTATAGTTTCAATTCAATTTTGTTTTGGAAATAAATTTGCATTGCAGTTCATTTGAAAAGGACGGCTCAGTGCAAATTTAAGGGGGTTGAGAAAAGACCACATGAGGCAAACCTAAAGTAAAAACAACTGATGATTGATTAATTGTGAATGGTGCCTTGACTTCTAATCATGTTAATTGCCTAACATGTATTGTTTATTCAACACATAATCATCGGTTGCAGTTGAATGGAGAAGTTCTTTCTGTAGCCTACGTGGTGCACACTGAGAAATGTGTCTGCACATACAAACAGGTCTGGCAACTCTTTCCTTCATAAAATGTTAAATGGTAAATGAATTAATGAATTAATCATTACACTGTAGTATACTGTGGTCATCTTGAATTGTGTTGGAAACTCTTCACTCCAGCATAAATACAGCACAGGCCAGGACAGCTGAACAGAGCCATAAACCACATTTTTTGATAGTGGCATTAACCATCTTTTAGTAGTCAATAGATCTGTTCCGTCTGTGTCACGTTGAAATACATTGCTGTATATTGTTCAGCATGGGTGCTAATAATATAAAACTACTTATACTTGCACATTGTTGATGCACTGAGACAGTCACAACACTTGTGTGCCAAGAAAATGATCGTAAATATGGTTAGAGATACAATGAGCTGAGCTACAAGGGAACTCGCACCATGCTGTAATTAAAACATGTGAAACTTGAATGAAAGAATATTTGCATGGACCTGGACAGCCATCACTGCAACACAGTTTTTGTAAATACAGCAGCAGTGATTCTTGTCTGTGCACAATTGATAAACAGAACACCATTCCCCCTATGAATTTTATGCCTGTCATTGTCATTCTTGCCTTTTTGCTAATTAAATTTAAGCAGTCTTTGGAGATAGCAGATTTTCAATGTCAAATGGTGCAAGGGCAGGCAGCCACTTGTGGGTCTTAATTCACCTGTGATGGCAAAAGCAGGTGAAATCAAAATCCCTTAACAAAAAGGCCTCAGTTAGGACAATTTAATTTTTGTGGTTTTGGTTTTGTCTGTACACAAAAATGAAAAGCTTTCTGTTAATGACAACACTTCAATTAATTAACTAGAAAACACCATTTATCAAAGAGGCTAGGATAAATATAAGCAATTTAAAAGTAATACATCTTCCTAATGGGTTTAAATGGGTTTTAATCTGCACTAGATTGAAGACAGGTATTTATTTATCAGCTAGCTTCTTCAATGTCAAATATGTCACATTTCTCACTCTGCACAGCCCAGCACTTGACTCCCATTGTCTCCCACTGTCTTAAGGACAAATGAAAGAAATCAAGGACCATAAATTCTCACAGGTGTCACCCATGGAGCTTAAAGGCACCTCTGACATGTAGAATGAATACAAAGAGGGCAACATGAATGAATGTAGATGAGAAGTGAAATGTGTTTTATATGGGAAAGTGGGGAATGCAAAATTCTCATAAATAAATAAGTAAATAAATCAATTAAGGATTAAGGATGAATCCCATTTCATTATAAAATAACAAAAATGTAATAACTATGAAGACACCAATTTCAATATCACACATTTTATGTAGCTAGTTTAGTTTAGTTAATATGTTGTTTTAATTCTTTCACTTTGTTTTTTTTATTTTTTTATTAAAACTTAAAAAAAGCAGTGAAATATAAAATATCTGAAAAGATAAAGAATAGAGTGTCCGAAGCTGTCCGTGGTCCTGAACTAGTTGCTGCGGGGTGACTGCTGTTTCCCAGCATCTGCTTCCTAAACCACATTCCTACACGATAAACTTACAAGTCAGAGGCATGTAGATAAATGAAAGCATACAGACCTTCCACCTCATCCTCAGGCAGGTTAACAGGGGTCCGGTAGGAGAGGACATCTGGAATAGTGCAAAGTCCCTTGTACATGAACCTGGTGGTCACAGCACGCACTGGCATTTCTGCGAGGGGAAACCAACAACTGTGTGGCGATCTTCATAGAGCCTTGCTCTCCGGAGTTTGGAGACAGACACCCTTTGCTACTGTCCAGAATGTCTTAACTGGACACGAGTATTTAAGCAACACGTCCTTTTGTAAAGTTCAAGGTATGTTCAAAAAGGTTAGTATAAAACACGCCGACACGTGCGTAAACAGCCTTTGGTTCAGATGCATAGACATTCAGTCAGAAGAATTACAGCCTGTGCTAATTAATATGCACAGATGGTTAACTTTTACTTGAAGTGTTTAGATTTAATCACTTTCCAATGTTAGCGTTGATAAATAGCTATTGAGATTGGCTAATTAGAAAGTCAAATGCGTGCTCTGATATTGCCTGACTAATTGGCTATGTTGACGTGTAGCTTCTGCATAGAGTACAAATAACCACTTAGTCGATCGCTTCTCTATTGATTTCCAGAGTCGTGCAGCGCGTCTTGTGCTTTTGAAAAGTGTATTTCCCGTGTAGTCTGCCTCACTTTTCTTCCTCGTGGTGGCATCTTCTTAGAAAGCGATGGCACAATAACAAAAAAGAGACAACCGAAAAAGGAGCAGTGGCACGATGGTTCTGGTCCTATCCAGTTAACGAGGCGCAGATAGCCCGGACCCTGCTGGTTGTTGTCGCCTTAACGCGGCTTCGGGGAGTCCTCGTGACCCCCTTTTCTTCGGAAACACCATGCGCTATGAGCCGCTCATCCGCTCGCTCTCCTGTCTCACTCACAGGCGCACACGCGCGCGCGTCTCACGCCCCATCATCATATAGTACTCTGCCAAACAGCTACATGGTAGAGTCGACACGACTGTCAAGTGGCTGGCTGTAGCATCCCATAATTGCAAAGAATTGTGGTTGGCTACAGCGATACAGCAGCAACAGGTGAAGAGCCGTCTGCAGTCTTTCCTGTTACAGCCCGTTCTCAGAGGATTGTGGGAGTTCAGTCTGTTTCCAAAATAACCATTATTCCGGAATACAAAAACGATTGTGCCTAGCGATTTGTTCAGTCATCAAAAGAAATGTTACGAGGCTTAGGCACAATAAACGCTACTATTAGAATCAAATTTTTTATATGCTTCCTAATCCAAATGAAACTTTAGCATTAGCATTAGCTGGGTCCTTGCACATTGAAGATCATCTTAGCAATACTGACACATTAAAGAAAAGAAAGAACCACTTTTCAGCTATAAGTACTTCATTACTAGGCAAATTATGAAGTAATGTTAGTGTAACAGCCCTCATGAAAGAGGAAATGTCCTCTGCAGCCCAGGCCAATGCATCACTCACCAAAAACAACAATCTGATTTCTTTCAGTCTATCATTTTAATGGCTATAGTAATTGATACAGTTCATCTAGTGGTAGGGAAATAATAGGGTATAGTTTGTACATGTATGTGAAAAAAAATAAAGTAAATGGAGTGTTGTGTATTGTGAGATAAAGAGGAAGCCAGAAGAGTATAGATCAGAAATATTTCTGTGCAGCAGTAGCCTGTATAAGTTGCATTCTACACAGAGGTCAACAGGACATAAATGATAATAATGGGAGGAGTGGAGAGTGAAGGATGCACCTGTATGGAAGAGGAATGTTGCTTTTGATGAGAAAAGTATAACTGAAGGAAAAAGTGTAAAATGATAAGTGCTATTTGGCAAACATGAATTAGTAAAGTCGTTTGTCTATAGTGACAACAACCATGCAGATGATCAAACAGTCACATAAATGAGAAGTTGCATTTTATCACTGTGATATTTACTGCATTTAGCAAATCTTTAGTCATTAGAAGTTTTTAGTCATTAGAAGTCTTAAAAATAAATGTATTCCAAACTTTAGATGCAAAAACACAACCCATATTTTATTCAAAATCTGTCACTGAAATGATGCCTCCAAATAAATCCACAGACAGTTTTCAGTCATACACACAAGCACATGTCCTCCAATGAGAGCGCTGCATTTTGCCGAACTATGGCCCAATGGTGTTCATATCTTCACTGGCTGCCCGGGAGCAGATAAGTGTGCCTTGTGTATCCTGAGTACTTTCTATGTGTATCCTGTGCATTTTCTGTGTGTATGTCTTGTGTATCGCATGTGTATATCCTGTGTGTATTCCATGCAGCCTGGTTCCAGTGGCTGCTTCTTGAAGGTTTTACAGGACTGACAGGTCTATTCCCCTCTGAATGTGAAGCGATTGTCTTTGCCCGCTGCACCTGAGCCTCCTGCTTGCTCCAGGCTCAGGCAGAAGAAAAAACATCCTAACCAAATCACAGCATCTTTCCCCCCGATTTGACCCAATATGGCATCTGTGGCTGGCATACAATCTGAGAGTTTAATAATTGTACACCAGCTGGAAACAGAAAACAAACAAATGATGGTATTATTGGGGTTGGGATGTTTAGAATCAACTATATAAGCCATGACTCTACACTGACACCGTGTAATTTTCTGGGGGTGATATGTCACCCCCCGGAAAAAAAACTTACAGTAATTTGGAACATTCTTTATGGAGATAGATATGTTTTATGCCATGGAAGGGTGCCTCTTTCTCCATAGGCCAACTAAGAGTCAGGTTTAAGTAAGAATGCAAGTTTTTAAGCACATTCAGATAGAAAAAAACATCCTAAAGGGTTATGCCGTGGGTCTTTTTCAAATCAAATCAAGTATATTCATAAAGCATATACCAAAGCATACCAATGCGCTGAACAACAACAATAATATATACAAAAATACTATGAAAACACAGTGAAAACACAGTATAATATAAAACCAAGAAGTCACTCTCTCTAACTTGTATCAAATGTCAATGAGAAAATCTGCATCTTTCTTTCTTTCAAATCTGCATCTGGAGATTTAAGTAGTTAAGTTGTTTTAAGTGGTTCCTAGAGAACTGTATTGAAATAATCAGGGCATCCTATTTGCCATTTGCTCTTTGATTTGGAGCATTTTGGACATGAGCATTAAAACAAGAAAATGTAATGTGATAATTGAACATATACTACCATAGTAAGCAAATTAGATTGCATGATGATGTTTGGTTCTGGCTTGTGACAAGACTGAAGGTGTGGTGACCAGACTGATACGACTCTGCATAAATAATACAGAGAGTGTCTTTCTGGACACCGTCTCATTTAAACACCATATTTCCCCATGAAATTAGTAGGCATAGGTGTATATTTAACTAAACCCATGTTAGTAAATGTAACTAATGAAAAAGAAGATGTGCCCAAAAGCCCAATATTACCATTACTTTTGAATCCTATTAGCATTTGACCCTCAAGCTCCCATCTCAAAGCTGTCAATTTGGAGAATATTGTTGGTAAAAATTGGAAGTTCAGATTGTTGCTGCAGAGCTCATTGAGAAGAAAGAGCAGAGTGAAGTGGGGCTTCCTGTGGAGAGTGCTGCCTTCACCCACCAATCAGTGTCAAATGAAGCGTCTGGGGAGAGGGGTGTCCGTCGAAGCAGCAGACCTGAAACTGAGCGGTCAGACGAGCTGCAAACATCACGGTGCACATCCCAGGCAGACAGGTCAGGAAGGGAGGAAATTCAAGGATACACGAAGGACTAGGAAGTAAACAACAGACCAGAAAAAGAAGACAAGTTAAAATCGCTTGAAATTGCATTGTTTGATTTTAACCTTGTGCTAATTTTCAGGCTGAAATGGAAGGTAATTTTGTAGACTGCCTAAAAGTAGAGGTCAAATGCACAATTATTTAAAACTGCAAGTGGCAATGGAGGGCACATGAAAGGTATGTCTCTGTGTGGGATTCACCAGCATTCATGAAACTGGAAAAGTTCAGTTCAGTTGTGAGCCTGATGTTGCCCATAATTAGTTTTGTATTATACCGAGCAGTGTTGGGACTGACTGTGAAAGTAATATTATGCTTTTGCTATCCTAGTGTTTTGGAGTACTGTTTGCCTCCTTCATCCCCAGTGCACATTGCCTCTGAGCCAAGACCACTTTGAAAACAACAATTAGAAGAGAGAACTGAACTCTTAACACAACTTTTATGTGATGTAATTGTGAGTGTTACTGTGAAATGTTTACAGTGCTGTAATCTGCTCCTTGTGCTGGTCATAGCTGGTAGAGCAGTCGAGTCTTGGTGAGGATTCAAATTTAGGATTGCAAAACTTTCAAGAATAATCTGCTAGCTCACTTGAAGCCTATTTTCGTAAGCAGATGGAAGATTAAACAGATTGTTTTATTTAAAGGGTTAGGGTTAGGCTCTATTGAGCTATTTTCTGATCTATGTTATGTTGTATCCTCATCAAAAACATACCTGCAATTGTATTTTATTTCATTCACACGTGTTTAACACACAAACCCGGCATATTTAGGCTGAGTTTTTCTCTCAAAAAGAAAATATTCTGTTTTCACCTTGATAACAGGAAGTGTTCCACTTTGTTGTAAACTCCACACACCTTCACTAGAATCAATCTCTACTGAACTAAAGATAAAAAAGGTAGCTGAAAACTACTGCTTCATGACATCACAAGATGGAACAGAGCATTTTGAGCTTTGGAGATGTAGACAGACCAATAATAAAGGGTTATTCAGACATGTGTGAATGAAACAAAACACAACTACAGGTATGTTTTTGATAAGGTAACAACATTCTAACATGTTTTAGTAATTTATGTAACATAGGCCCTTAAAACATTTTCAAATTATAATTTTGATTTAATTGTTCAACTTTGTGAGTCAAAAGATCTTGGCACAAGACAAATCTTTGCACAGAGTTTCATAATCTCTGAGGCAAGAATAGCTGATTGCCAATTTATTATAATTTGGTTCTAGTTGGGAAACACTGTGATTTCCCTAAATTAACATTTTCTTATAAAGCAGTAATCAGCAATCTTTTAGCTGTGAAGTACATAGAGGCACTTTTAATAGGAGCATTTGTTATTCCCTCTCCACCACTTAATATTCCCAAGCCCGCCCATGTGTATTATTTAGACACAGCAGGGTTGTGTATAGGTCT